ATATAGAAAGCATATCGCGGTTACAGAACACGCAGAGAGCTGAAGGGGTATGGATTAGACGCCTCTACCAGATGGCTCGAGGTGAGAGATAAATCTACGTACGCACGGACATGGCTAAACGGGCTCTTTCCAGGCGTTGAAAGAGGTTGAATGGCGCCGATCGACGCGCCCATACGCACAGGATGATAGTACCGCCGAAGAATCCGGAACAACGCAGGCACGTCGCAACTGGAAGCGGGTTGCAAACATAGCGATGCATGCCGGCGGAGATGACAATGTCTGTCAGGACTCACCCGGCGGTGACGCCAGTCTATCCATTGCCGAGAGCCAGTCAAAGTCAAAACGCCGTGCGTCTCTGGCCGGCAGTGATGTATCCCCGGAGAAGACCGCGAAAATGATGGACCTCCAGTATTTTCTCGAGATGGTTGACCTCAAACATCGGTACGGGAGTCACTTGCGCCAGTATCACAACTACTGGAAGAACACGCCTTCCAGGCAGAATTTCTTCTACTGGCTCGATTATGGCGAAGGTAAGGATGTGGAATTGCCCAGGTGCTCTCGGGAGCAGCTCGACCGTGATCAGGTCCGATATCTCACCCGAGAGGAACGCATGAACTACCTCGTCACCGTCGACGAGTCCGGTCGCTTTCGATGGGCGAAAAACGGCGACCGTGTTTCGACTGACAGCAGCCGTTTTCGAGATAGTATCAAGGGTATCGTGCCCATCGACAACCATACGCCGCAGTTTCAAGGACACACCGAAGACGGGGTCCCGATTGCCGTAAGGCCGAGCTCTTCCTCTTCGTCCTCTTCTGCAGATGAAGAAGATGATAGCGGATCCGACTCTAGCGAAGAGGGGAAGCGCTACTTTAGCCAGGAGTTTGACGACGCCAAAGGGGTGAAGAAACTAGTTTATGTCAGCCCAGCAGTGATCTTCAACCATTTGATGCGCAAGTCGTTGAAGAGAGAGGATATGTGGATTTTTGTATGTCATCTCATCGCTGTACAACGCGCCCTGCTAACTCCGACTATTAGGTTGCTGGTTGGTGCTGTCGTCTCCCAACTGACTAGTCGCTGTCGCCATCTGATGAACCCTAAAAAACGAAAATAGATACTTCCTTTCGGATATACATTGGAATCAAAGCCACGGGTGCATTTCAACACTCTTCCTTTCTCCGGGGCGCCCGTATCGCAGCCGCAGGATTGATCAAGGTCCGAGACGGTCAGTTACGCAGTCTTTCTCCTTTAAGGTACTGTACACCTTTCTTTCTTTCGTCTTCCTTTCTTCCTCGGGAACCACTAATGTCTATTCAGCGGCCATTACCGACCCCCCGCTGCTAGCTTCCGGGCATTTGTCCACGCCCTCCAAGACCAAGGAGTGGACATGTCTCGCGTGTCGATCAGCCGATCGTATGCTGTTCTGGTCGGGATAGAGGGCTACACGAAAACCAAGCGTAAAGTGCGAGCTCTTCACGAAAAGGTTGACAGCTCGAAGCAAAAGTTTCACCAAAGGCGGGAGGAAAATGCCACCAACGATGACAGCGATGAAGGGACCACTCATCACCACTACTGGACAGGCGGGAGCCAAGCAGAGGAAGAAAAGCAATTCCTGGCATCGACCATCGGCAGATCATCAGATCCGCAAGCGGTTATCACTGGAGGTCCCAAAGGTAAAAGGCTCTGGGGCACTCTCAAGAATCTCGCGCGGCGAGGCTCCAAGGACGAGCTTGTCTCCTCTCCAACACCAACAACAGCACCAACAACTGGATCAGTCCGGATGCAAGGTAGAGGGATCCCCGGTACGGCACCAGAGGAAGGAGTACCTCCGCCAGAGGGCAAACGCTGATTCATTTCTCGGCTGCTGATTCGTATCGGCGGTGTACGCAGTATAGTGCGAGGGGGGATGGGGTGACTAGTGTGAGCTATCACTGGTAGTAATAGGTACCTAGGTAGTTACAGAGCAACTTCCCAGGATGTTTAGGTAGTTAGATGCAGCCTGATGTCATCATTATTCCATTGGGCATACAGTATGCACCACCTACAGACGGCGTAACTAATGCCTGTGCGACTTTCATAAAATGGCCCGTTTGACTCGGCGCACGTGTTTGTATTACCTAATCTTTTTTTTTTCGCCACTCACAAACCAAATTTCTGTTTTCCGACTTCCGAATGTCAGACAAAACGTCGGCCAACAAATGACAAGGTACGCCCCCCCCCACCCAGTGAGAGGCTGGAACCAGTCGAAATGAGAGCAAGTGATTACTGACACAAAGTAAAAAGTGAGGGAAAAGAGAGGGAAAAAAATAACTACTCCCAAGGTCCGAGGCATTGGTCCCTGCCTAGAAGCACGGGTGCGGCGTTGAACCATCCTCAAGCCACGTCCCAGGGGGCTGACGGCTTGACGAGGCCAATTCACTCGATGCCGATCTTGAAGCGGTTCGATCGTCCACTGACAGCAGAGGGCGCGACCCCTGATTGAATGAGAACGGGGCAACGGTGCTGGGATGGCCCACAAGCAATACGCACGCCCGGGATGGGCTTGCAGCGTGCAGCCATAGGGAAGAGACCCCAAGAGAGTCGAGAGACACCTCAGACTCTCAGAGCCAACGGCGGTCGGAGAGCTTCGTAATCGCTTCGATGCGGGCCCCCCCTGATTCCCCTTGGCTAGAACCGTTCCGGGCCTGCGGACTACCTCATTGTGCTGGGACTGCGGAGACCCAACCTCGGGGTTGTGGTGGGAAAAGAAGGGAAGCACAAGGTTGAACTAACTACTCCGTAATTGACTAACTAACGTATAGTTATAAGGTACTGCCCACTTTTTCTTCCCCCAGGTTTACGGGCCTTTTCAGTGCTTCAAGTGATGGACAGGAAACTGGCTTCCCTATCCTCTTTGATTTGTTGCAAGAGAAAAAGAAACAGATTTTTGTAACGAATTTTTTTTCCCTTCGACTCCGGATAAACGGACGGACTGCTATTTTTATTTTTATTTTTGCCGCTATTACAAGCCACCACTGAATTTTTCTTTGGCTCCATGTGCTCGGAGAATTTTATACTTGAGATTTCGGGGTAGTTCAGGCAATCCTTGTACGAAAGAGACGAGACACAACAGGATCGTGTTCTGCAATCAATATGTCCCAGCAGGATGACGAACGTGCAGAGAGGGTAGACTCTGGCAGCACGGAGGTGCCCAGCACGGGGAGCCCATCATCACCTGCTGCATCACCGTCGCTGCTCGAAAGACCCCAGAACCATGATCAGGGCCAGGAAAAGGGCAACCCAAGGAGGGAGGAGGAGAAGAACCCCCCTGTGAGAACGGCCCGGGAGCGCTGGAAATATGCCGCCGAGGTCATCAAACAGAACAACATGCGCGCTGCGCACTCCGAGGCGTCAGACGCGGCTCCGAACGAGCTGGCTCCGATTGGAAGCAAGGAAAAGCAGGCTTTGCATCACTCCATGTCTACCCGGGACCGTTGGAGAAATGTCACCGAGCTCCTCAAGGAGAGGACTGCCCGAGCGGCTGAACGTTTGGGCCGGCCGCCCGAGGAAGGCGACGCGCTGGACGCGGCGTTCTCTCCTGAATACCTTGGCGCGACAGATGACCTGTACGCCATGAGACAAGGCAGACTACACAACGACGAGACTCGAAGCCCGCATCATCAGCATACCGCCAGTTCCGAAGCAGCGCTGCTGGTGGAGAGACTGGGGTTGACCCAGAACGCAGAGGTTCGGCAACGCAAAGCCAGTGCGGCATCGCAGCACGCTGGCACCCGGCATGCAGACGACTCTCTTGCGTCTAGCACGGGGCTTGCGGGCCTCTCTTCTAGCACCCCCGGTGGTGGAGGGATTCTCTCGCAGCTTCTCAAACTGCAGGCTGGCCAGCTCAACGACAGCTACGAGAGTCTGACAGCCACAGACTCGGAGAGCGAAACCCCTTCGGTCTCCGGCAAATCAACCCCTCTTGCCCCGTCCCGGGCAACGACGATCACAAACACCACTTCTGAAACGGGGGGCACCTCGACTCCCGGCAGGGAGAAGCTCAGATGGTACAATAAATCGAGACCGCACTCAACCGCCTCGCTGCTTCATGCCTCGATGGACCTGACCCGGGTCGCCATGCCTGTTGCCCAGGACTTTGCGCCGGGAGCCAAGAACTACCGGGCCTCGCTGCCGGCAGACAAGGACGGACAGAAGAAGCGCAAGAAAAAGAAGAAGAGGAACGCCGAGGTCAAGGTGACGGTTCACATCGCGGAGATCCTCAACCGCCAACGCTATATCATGCAGCTGTGCCGAGCTCTGATGCGGTATGGGGCCCCGACCCATCGGCTGGAGGAATACATGCAGATGACCGCCCGCGTGCTCGAGGTGGATGGCCAGTTTCTCTACCTCCCAGGATGCATGATCATGTCGTTTGACGATGCGTACACTCGTACCGCGGAGGTGAAGCTGGTGCGCGTCATCCAGGGCATTGACTTGGGCCGCCTCGCCGAAACGCACAACATCTACAAGAACGTCGTCCACGATTTGATCAGCGTCAACCAGGCCATCGACGAGCTGAACGAGCTGATGGGCCGCGCCCCGCGTCGCAACAAGTGGATCCTTGTCGGCCTGTACGGCCTGGCGAGCGCGGCGGTCGGCCCCTTTGCCTTTGAAGCCCGTCCCATCGACATGCCCATCATCTGCTTCCTGGGCTGTCTCGTCGGCTTCATGCAGCACGTCATCGCCCCGCACTCGGTGCTGTACTCGAACGTCTTCGAGGTCAGCGTCGCCATCATCACCTCGTTCCTCTCGCGCGCCTTCGGCAGCATCAAGTCCAAGGACACCCCGTTCGCCCAGGATGGCGAATACATCTTCTGCTACGCGGCGCTGACCCAGTCCTCCATCGCCCTGATCCTGCCGGGCTTCTCCGTCTTGTCCAGCAGTCTCGAGCTACAATCCCACCAGATGATCGCCGGCTCCATCCGCCTCGTCTACACAATCATCTACTCGCTCTTCCTCGGCTACGGTGTCACCGTGGGCACCACAATCTACGGCTTGATGGATTCCGACGCCACCACACAGACCAGCTGTAAAGCCCTGACCGTCTGGGGCGACGGCTATCAGTATGTCCGGCGTTTCCCCTTCGTCGCCGTCTACTGCCTGCTCGCCGCCCTCATCAACCAGGGCAAATGGAAGTCCACCCCCGTGATGGTCGTCATCGGTGTCTGCGGCTACGTCGCAAACTACTTCAGCTCCCTCAGGCTCGGCTCCACCAACGGTGTCGCCAACACCGTCGGTGCCTTCACTATCGGCTTTCTAGGAAACCTCTACAGCCGCATCTGGCACGGCCACGCCGCCACCGCCATCCTGCCGGGTATCTTCGTCCTCGTCCCTTCGGGTCTTGCCTCCAGCGGCTCCATCATCTCCGGCATGGAGTACGCCAACGAGGTCAAGAACGGCTCCGCTTCTAGCAGCTCCAGCTCAGGAAATTCCCTCACCTCCCTTGGCTTCAGCATGATCCAGATCGCCATCGGTATCACCGTCGGCCTGTTCATCTCCGCTCTCATCGTCTATCCCTACGGCAAGCGCAGGAGTGGCCTCTTCAGTTTCTAAGCCAGCGCAAACACATTCGCCATCTCTCTTTTCTGGAACATTTTTCACTCTTATTAACTGCTTCAACCTCCAATCAGCGACTGATATCCTTTGTATTTTAGCTAGTCCAAGCCTTCCTGAAGTACCTGGCCATTCTTAGCCCTCGCATTCTGCATTCGCACACACACACACACACCAGCAATTTGTCCAATTCCTTCAAAGTATATATGTCATTTTCGGTAGGCGAATTCAAATTGAACCAGACGATGTTTTACAGCCCCTGCGAATCCCAAGCCAACTTCATGGTTTCCTTATCATTCTTAAGAATGCTATCACAAGGATATCGAATAAAATGAATCGGTCACCATCAATCAGTTCTTGTCCGATTGATCGGCAATCATCATGTGGGCAGTATTTTCCTCCTCTTCTCGCGCTTTCTGCATGGTTCTGGAGTATTTCCCTCCGCCAATAAACCACCATAGTAGTTGAATGACGAGGACGCCGCCAACACAAACGCATGTGTAATTCATGTTTACGGCTGATCATCGACGTCAGCTCCAATGCGACAATACTAGTCCAGCTATGACAGGCGTTGCAAACGTACCGGTGGCAGGCATGTAGTATGGAAACGAGAAGAAGATAATAGCGAACGCGAGCCACGTTACGGTGACAATATTGATGCCCATCCCAACAACCGTGCCCATGCAAAAGTGTCCTCGGTGCATCGTTCTCCGGCCAAGAATAACATTCGTCAAGAGGGGGGCAAGATATGCAATGTTGTTTATTGTCCTTGATCAATCAGCCTGTTGGATCTATACTGTCCGAGAGTAAGCCTTACACTGCTGAACTCATCATCGCATTGAATGCGGTACTGGACCCGAGGTAGAGACAACCAAGCAGAGCAACAGTCAGAGTCACACAAAGTTGGGCATTGAAAGGACAGCCGAACCGTGTGTTGACTCTCGCCAAACTATAGGCACAGATGTCAGTCCAATGAAGGGCTTTTCTTGCTATGGCAAAACCAGCGCATGGTACCTAGCCGACTTACAGCGCCGACAATGGAAGACCTTTATCTCTGGCGAAAGCCCAGACGATTCGTCCAGTACCTATCATTTAATCTGGTCAGAGGTTCATCGAAACTCCATATACCCTTGGAGTAATAGGTAGGGCTCTTACTGAGTTGCGAGCCAATCATGCATGGTCCAATGGCAACCCAGAGTATAAAAGTCAATGCAAAAGCGCCACCCCGGTTCTGGGTTGCCTGCAAGAAGAGCTCTGATAACGGAAGACCAGTAGATGTCTTTGTCAAGCCAGCATAATCTTGAACTGAATACATAAGGCTCAATAAATACGACAAACCGGTGATGAAAGCAATGGCGAGGCTGCAGGCTATGCAGAACTGTAGTTCAGCGTCCTTTTTCTCTCAGGAAATGAAGAGGGCCTGAGAGCATACCCAGAGCTAGTGGTGCATTACGTTCAGGCTTAAGGGAGATTAACAAGCTGTGCAAGGTGTGAACCATCCGGATGGGACTGGAGACTTACATTTGGCATCTCTTCGGTGATATGCTGCGCTTGTCAATTCCTTCAGTTGCTAAAAAACCAGGGAACATACCGTGATTCCATCCAAGCCTCCCAATGAATATAAGGGGTTCACTAGTCCAGTAATGAAACAGATGGTGTTGCTCTTCCACCCTGTCTTGTTGATCCAAGTTCGGAAGACGAATTCGTTGCTGTTATGTATAGGAGCTGTGGCAACAACGGTGACCATGACAGCTAACCAGGCTAGTTGAAGATAAAACACTAGAAATCATCAGAACAAACTATTCTACATGTTTTCTCCGGAGTCAAGTATTCTCACAAGAGAACTTATTGATAAGAGGAACGAATCGATTCCCCAGCATTACAATCCCACCTGTGACCAAGTTGAGAAGCTGATAGGCTATGAAAGTCATCCATGGTTTCATCGCCCAGCCGTCGTCCTTGTAAAGTGCGATCAATGCCATAAAGTTGGTGGCGTATATCAGGTTTGTGGAGGCAGTGGTGAAAATCCCTACTCTGAATCAGCTTGAATAGGGTAAATCAAACTGATAAAAAGGCTTCGGCTAACATCCAAATACCGTACTCCATCCCGTAGCAAAGCTCAAGAAACTGCTGTACTGCTTTGGCGCAATTGCAGCGATCCAGTGATACATCCCACCTTCAACAGGGTATGCGGAGACAAACTCTGCAAGTGACGCGGCAAGGAATGATTGAAGAATAAAAACTAAAATAAACCCGTAGATCACTAGGGTCTGTCAAACAAGTTGTTTTCGGAGGGAATTAGAGTGCAATATTAGACATACATGCTCCGGGGCCACCAGCATTAATGGCAGTACTAAGCCCGAGTCCAAGACCTAAGACAGCCTGATCAGCGATGGACCTCTCTGATACTAATAGGGTAACCCACCAGTCCAAGAGATTGTGCAGTTGGCAGCGAGACCAATCAAGCTCCACACGGAGAAATGCCGCTTCAATTCTTGCCTGTGACCTGTGAGGCAATACCGAGACCCGTCAGAAGACTTCTAAGTAGGTGGTGAAAGGGTAAACTAAGCTCACCCATCTGAGCCAGACGCAGCTCGTCGGTATCCACTACCTCAAAGGCGTTCAACGCATTTGTTTCGACAGAGACACCGGCTGGTGCTGGATCCTTCGTTGTATCCATATTGTTGATGAGATTGATAGTAGCTTGTTAAGAAACTGTTGACACCATGATCAGTCAGATCTAGAGAGACACGACCGAGTGGAGAGGGCTGACTGACAGAGTATTACCCTGGCTGGATCTTTTAGACAGAAGGTTCGATGAAGTCTGATGGAGGTTGTTCTCTCGCTCCTTCCATTCTAAGTAGCACCTGCCACCTGACCTGCGTAACAACAAACTACCCGATCAAGGAGACACGTGCCCAGAACGATTCACATGTCGAGCACAGGAGAATATCTCCCTTCCTTCCTTTCTCCTGTACGGCATGAGACAACCCGTCCTGTTCCTTTTCTTCTCAGCTACCTACCTAGTAGGTACCTTTACTGAACCGCTTCTTGGCTATTGCAGCTGTGGCTAACTTTAAGCCAGCTAGACCATGCGAGACGAATTCCCGATGGGTGGTACAGGACGCCGACTCAAATCAAACAACAGCTTCTTTTTCTTCGAGGATCTATCACGTCAAATGAAATGACTTGGCGAGGATTCATAGTACCAGGTAGCTTGCTACAACTACTGCTACCACAAAGTACATGAAGCAGCCAATGAAACTCTGACGGTGTAGCTTGAATAACTGGACCCTAGGACAACTCTAAGACAGAGCTGCAACGTTGCCGCTATCCATCTCCAAGTCTAAGGCAGCAGAAAGCGACAAACTACAAAACGACAAAACTCTATCGGTTGACGTCAAATAGAGCTTTCGCTCTGTGATTGGTCAAAATTCATCGAGACGCCACAGATCGGCTTCCCCCCAGTTGGGCGTGGCGTGGACATGACGTTAACGTCAGCCAGGCCGGGAAGCGTCAAACAATGAGATTATCAAGGTACGAGGGGACCTGTCATCGTGTACACTTCCTGTCAGAGAACCGATCGATCTCTGGAGCACACTTCTCCACCATCACAACGTCATCGGAAGTGCACCCACCCTCGAGAAATGATCTCAACGCTTATCGCGTGGCTCTGTCAACCGCCGGGTCACAAACCGGTTTGGCCTCGATCTCTTTTGTCGTACAAGTTTATTTCTGCTTTATATGGAGCGTCTCATAACTAATAGACACCCACGTCCACGATCTAGGCTCCTTGATATTATGCTAGCCCCGGACGGTAATCTATCGGGGACACCTAGCGGCAGCAAGTTCCACTCCCCTAATTAATATAATAGCGGCAAGTTTCGTCGTTTTATAGTTATGCTCCAACATGCTGCATTGACGCAATGATGATAAAAGAGAAGGCTGGGCTCGTATCTATACCAAACCCAATCAAGAGACATCACAACAACGGTAATCCCTGCCATATGCACCATGTGGTCTGGAGACAGCTGTGATTCGACTATATTCCTGGATCGATGAAGCTATCCATGGAACCGACGTAGTTCCACTCCCCAAGCTCGACGCGCGACACCAGCCCTAGAACCTTCGTCCGTAGCGATCAACAAACAGGATGGGGGCCTCGCCAATGACAGCAATGACGGGGGAATTCGGCCAGACACCACTCCATAGTCCATACTGTAGCTGGTGGTTATACGACTGCTATGACGTAGGAGGGTCTGTCCTTGGAGAAGCTACTTAGTATGTCATGGATCGAGAAGACTTAAATAACCCGTTTGGGACTCAGTCTGTTCAAGATGATTCCTCAATATAAAAGATTCTATACGCATTTATCTCCCCAAGTTCAGTTTTCTAGGAAATTCTATTCAAGTACCTAATTGAAAAAAAGAAAACATCTTCAGAACCAGGCTTTACTCTTGTATACTACTACTTACGATTGCACGAAGTCACGACGACAACCTGATACTCAAAAACTCCCTACCTTGCTTTTCATCACTACCATTTCACATAAAAAATGGCATCGGAACTCTCTCAAAGAAGCCCAGCTACCCCCTCCAAGCACCGCAAGGGATCCGGCTCCAGCGCAGCCTCCCATAAGCCTCAGCTCTCCTCCCCCGTCTCGAAGAAATCTCACAACTCCCCACAAACCGTCGTCCACAACGATGACCAGATCCCCTCCACGCCCTCGCCCAAGTCCAAGAAACGCACCTCCGCCCGGTCCGAACAGCGTATGCCTTCCTCCCCCTCGAGCCATGCTAAAGGCACCGGCTCTGGTACCGCCACACCCCTCGGAAAGGCCTCCGGTCTTGCTCAGAAGGCAGCCAGCCAGGTCACAGATGCCGTACCTTTCGACCTGTCCGCACTCAAGGGTCTCGAGGTCGGCGAAAATGGTAATATCCTAGGCAAGGATGGGAACCCCCTCGGCCGTGTGGTCGAGGGTGAGGCCGAAGATCTTATCGGTCAGACCGTCGGTGACGACGGGGAGATTCTCGACGAGGACGGCGATCTCATCGGCCGGGTCGAGGTGATCCCCGAGGCGGTCGAGAAGGCTGGCAAAGATGTTTCCGATCAGGTGGATGAAGCGAAGGACTCCGTCACGGACCTGGCGGATCTGGAGGGGCTGCCCGTCTCCGAGGGTGGTGTCATCCGGAACCAGGCAGGCCAGATCGTTGGCCGGATTGTTGAAGGCGATCCGCAAGACCTGATCGGGTTCACCCTCAATGATGAAGGGGAGATTCTCGATGAGGAGGGAGATCCCATCGGTCGGGCGGAAATGGTGCCCCTGGAGGATAGAGATGACGAGGAACAGGAAGAGGAAGAGGAAGAAGGCCATGCCGATGATGCAGAAACAGATGGAGATGCCCTCGGCGGCCTGAAGAACTCTGTTGGAAATGCAGTCAATGGCGTTACAGATGCCGCCGGCAATGCAGTCAACGGAGTCCAGGATACTGCTGAAGATGTGGTTGATGACGTACAGGACACTACTGGAGACGCGGTCGATGATGTCCAAGATACGACTGGAGATGCAGTGAACAACATCCAGGATACTGCTGAAGATGCGGTTGATGACGCTCAAGACACTACCGGAGATGCAGTTGATGGTGTCAAAGATACTGCTGAAGATGCAGTTGATGACGCTCAAGACACTACCGGAGACGCAGTTGATGGTGTCAAAGATTCTGCTGGAGACGCGGTCGATGATGTTGAAGACACTACTGGAGACGCGGTCGACGGTGTCGAGGATACGGCTGGAGATGTGGCTGAAGGTGCTCAAGATGCCGTCAACAAACTTGAGCCCGACTTCTCGATCCTCGACGGAAAGAAGATCAACAAGAAAGGCAAGATCCTGGATGAGGAAGGTGAAGTAATCGGACAGATTGCCGAAGGTGCCGACTTGAAGTCTTTGGTTGGCAAAAAGCCCAACGCCGAGGGCAAAGTTCTCGACAAGAAAGGCAACGAATTGGGAATGGTCGAAATCGTTCCTGGCGAAGCTGCCGATGAAGCCATGAAAAGCCTTCATGAGGACCTCGATGTCGACGATGTTGAGGGAGCTACCGATGTCGCCGAAGATGCCAAAGACGCCGCTGCCGCCGAGCCGGGTGACAAGCTCGAGGAATCTAAGGAGCTTGTTGACGAGCAGGATGTCGACGCGGAGGATGTCGAACCAGGTGACAAGCTCGAGGAGGCCAAAGATCTTGTCGACGAACAGGATGTTAATGCGGAGGGTGTTGAGCCTGCCGACAAGGTCGATGAAGCAAAAGATACAGTGGATGATGCTGTTGATGAGGCTGGGGACCAAGTCGATGAAGCAAAGGACACAGTGGATGATGCTGTGGACGAGGCTGAAGATCAAGTCGACGAGACCAAAGACAACACTGAAGACTACGTCGATGCCGCTGAACATGCCCTGCCTGAACCCTTGACCGTGAAAGAGGTCAATGACGAAGGCGAAGTCATCGACGAAGACAACAATGTGATCGGCAAGGTTGACAGCGGTGATGCAGAGGATTTTGTCGGCAAGGAAATTAACGAACGCGGTCTCGTCTTGGATGATGATGGCAACATCATTGGCAAGGTCGAACTATCTGAAGAGCTTGGAAAGGCTGATGACGCCATTGACGACGTTGCCGATACCGCGGTTGATGATGCCGCTGATGCTGCCGCTACTGCTGATGTCGACGATGTGGCTGACGATGCCGCTGATGCTGCCAATGACGCTGGCGAAGCAGCAGAGGATGCTGCCGAAGAAGTAGGCGACAAGTTGCCTCCCCTCTCTATCTTGGAAGGGTTGAAGTGCAACAAGGCCGGCAAGATTGTTGATGCCTCCGGAAAACCTGTCGGAGAACTCATCGAAGGCGACGCGAAGAAGATCACCAAGGCCGGAGCTAAACTTGACGACAAGGGTCAGTTCTGGGATAGCCGCGGTAATGTTATTGGAAAAGCCCAGACTATTCCCGTGGAGGATGATGAGGAGGAAGCTCCTTTCGCTGGCCTCGATGGCCTTATCGTCGTGAAGGACGGTTGGGTCGAAGACGAGAATGAGAATCGCGTCGGACAGATTGTCGAAGGAGACGCCAAAAAGCTTGTTGGTCGCGCTGTGGACGAAGATGGCGACATTTTGGACAAGCGTGGTAATGTTGTTGGCCGTGCTGAACGGTGGGAAGCTGTTGAAGAGGAGCCTGAGCCCGAGGCCGAGCCCGAGAAGATCGACCTCTCAAGCCTGAGCGGACTGAGCCCCAACAAGCTTGGCTTTGTGATTGGATCAAGCGGCGTTCCAATTGCTCGCGTCGTCGAGGGTAATGTGAAGGAACTCGCCGGCAAGAAAATTGACTCCGACGGCCAGCTTTGGAATGATGCCGGCAAGGTCATCGGACGTGTTGAGTTGATCCCCGAGGACGAACGCGAGACCAAGCCAGAAGGTCCTTTCGCCGGTATGGACGGACTTATTGTCAACAAGGATGGATTTGTTGAGGATGAAGACGGCAATGTCGTTGGCCAGGTCACCGAGGGCGACGCCCGGAAACTCCGCGGCCGCATGGTCGATGAAGACGGCGACATTATTGACAAATACGGCAACGTCAAGGGCCACGCAGAGCCGTATGAACCACCTGAAGAGGAGGAAGAGCAGCCGGAAGACCTCTCTGCGCTTGAAGGCAAGATCGTCAACAAGGCCGGCAACGTCGTCGATGCTCATGGCGCTGTCTTTGGTCGTATTGCTTCCGGTGACCCCAAAAAGCTTGCGGGTAGAAAGGTCGACGGCCAGGGCCAGATCTGGGGTGACAACGGTAAAGTCATTGGAAGAGCTGAGCTCACCCCAGGGGCCGAGCAGGACAAGCCTGAGGGGGCTTTCTATGGGTTTGACAATGCCGTGGTTGCCAAGGACGGCACAGTCACTGACGCTACTGGGCGAATCATTGGCCGTGTGATTGAAGGAGATGCCAAGCGCCTCCTAGGCCGCAAGGTGGATGAGGATGGCGATATCTTGGACAAGAACGGCAACACGATCGGTAAAGCGGAGCGTTGGGAGCCCGAGGAGAAGAAGCGCAGCATCAATCCCATGTCTGGCCGCAAAGTCAACCGGGAGGGCGAAGTGCGCGACGCAGATGGCGAGCTCATTGGCAAGCTGACCTCGGGTGACTTGAAGACTCTCATCGGAAAGGAAATCGACGACAACGGGTACGTGGTCGACAATGACGGCAACAAGATCGGCGAGTGCACGCTTCTTGAGAATATCCCAGAACCCGAACCCGAGCCCGAAGAGCCTGAAGAGGAAGAGACTGGTCCATCGGCCGAAGAGCTGGAAGCACAGAAGAAGGTCGAGCAGGACCGGGATCTGGCGAAGAAGATGTGCGGCATCATCAGTCAAACTCTGGAGAGCATCCGCCCCGTGTGCAACATGATCAACGAGAAGCTCGAAAAGGCAGAGCGCACCCCGAAAGACGAATTGGACGAGGAAAAACTGGTCAAGGACGTCAAGCCTCTGATTGAGGAAGGCGGCCGCATGCTTCAGGAGTGCAATGGTGCTATCCGCGCTCTCGACCCTACCGGTCAGATCGCCGCCACGGCCAAGGCTCGTGCTGCTTCACACGATGCGTCGCCCGAAGAGTACCGTCTGGCAGACATGATCAAGGAGTTGACGGAGACTGTCGTCAAGACCATTGACAATGGCCGCAAACGTATCGCCGACATGCCCCACGCGAAGAAGAAGCTCAACCCACTCTGGTCCTTGCTCAGCGAGCCTCTCTTCCAGATCATCGCTGCCGTTGGCCTCCTTTTGACCGGTGTCCTGGGCCTGGTCAGTCGTCTGCTTGACGGCCTCGGTCTCGGTGGTCTCGTCCGGGGTCTTCTTGGTGGCCTGGGTCTAGACAAGCTGCTCGGTGGATTAGGCCTCTCATCCATCACAGACGCTCTGGGCTTGACTGGGAAGAAAAAGTGAGCGATGATCGCTAGAATGGTTTCTAATTGGTTCTCGGTAACAATGGTCTTTTGTTTTTATCTTCTCAAGTTGATATGCGAGTCCTTTGTAATAGTTCGGGCGATTTCATGAATGAGTGTATTTTTATCGAATTTCTTTGCTTCTTGGAGGACTTTCAACTCTGGTTTTTATATTAGCGATGGCTTTTGTGAACACTGTACTTATTAGCACTGTTGCCAGATGTCTTGCAATAATCAAAATTGATATTCATTCCATGTGAACCAATGCAATCTATAACTATGCGTACAAATGTATCTTTCCAAACGCCTCTCTCATCCCTCGGAATCTTGGATCAGATTCATGTCTATTAGAGGCGCCGGAAAAGTCAGTAGGCTATTATTTACCATTAAAAATATATAAACCAAAATCCATGATATAGAATCATCAAATTGGCGCTGGCAAAAGCCGCACTCGTTCCCGGAAGAGTATGGAGTCTCATCCATGCCGAACCAAAAATAAAAAAAAGGATTTGTCATGGTGTGTATAGAGCGGAAATTTCGTGGCTCGTGATATGCATGGCGATGGGTCGTTTTATATAGACCGAGTTTGGGTCGATAGAGGCTTGCCTCAAGGCTGAATGGAATCTCGATGATTTAGTGGCCTTTGAGCATACCCTGGCCAAATTCACGGAAAGCCCGCTCACGGGCTGTTGCCTTGTCCTCACGAATGGTCAGACAGTTGATTCCCAAGAAGGTCGTGAAGCGATTGATAATCAGGAAGGCCCAATGCATGTAGGCGATGAGGGCGAAAGCCAGATAGCCTTCCAGGTACCACAGTTCGACGGAAGCGCTGACCTTCGGTAGACCAAGTAGCGGCAAATTTCCAAGAATAGCCCCACCGATAATAGGGGTCAACAAGGTGGTCCACAAAGGGAAAGGCTGTCTCGTCAGATGGGCGAGAATAATTTTAGTGGTCATGCGTCCAAAGACGAAAGACATGGTCCAGCAGTACATGATTAAATGATTCTCCTGGAGCAAGGTTGAGTTATCGGAGAAGAGCCAGGCGAGGTTGCACCCAGTGAAGACGATCATTGGCATCCATTCCTTGAAGACAGGAGCAACAGGGAGATTGTCTCTCCGTCGAGCAGCGATCACGTTCACGACACACGCGGGCAGGTGAGCCGTGAAGAAAGAGAAGGTGAGAAGAGGAATCCAGAGATCTCTGAAGCTGGATGTTCCAAAGATCTGGGGATAGTTCAAGAAATCGGTAATAGGTTGACTCCAAATCTGAGGGCCATAGTAGCCGGAGGCAATCATGATCGCAATGGCGATTAGAAGGCCTTCTGTAGGTCCGTTGAAGTAGCCAAGATATAAAGTATGGGTGTGGTAGGTCTCCCAGGTGGAGAAATACATCGGCAAGCAGGGCAGCAAAGCCGTGAACGCGCCAATCTTCGTTGCCCCAAGGCCCATGGCTGCTGTTTCTAGCAAGCTCGCAAGGGTGCAGTTCAACGAATCAATTCCATGGCTAGGTTCTGTCAGTGGATTGCTTCTTGTATGTGGCTGGTGGATACAGACTCGAAGAGTTCACCCAATGGACTGGAAGTGCCTGTTCGTCTGGCCTGTTTCCCATCGACATTATCCAATGTAGAGTACCTATTAGATCATTAGCCAATCCTGTGCGAACCTTTCTAGGATTGTAGGTGTAGGTATATCTTCCACTTACATCCAGACGCCCAGTGCGAAACTATAATAAAGCCAAGCGGGGCCCTGAGCCAGACAGTCAGCCACCATCCATAACAGATGTCTTCACAAATAACTGCTGGGTCTTCTTACCGGTCCCAGAAGATCAGGCATATATAGCTCTACCAATATGACATTTCCAACGATGAAAAAGAAACCCAAAAGAGTGACCATGTTGGGCGCCAGCCACAGTGGCAGAACCTCAACAAATGCATTCCACTGATTGTATCATTGGGTCAGCCCTTGAATCCTCGAGCGTCTGGAAAGGGCAACTTTTTACATAGTGCTTTAAGATGTATCTGGAGATGAACGACTTGTCGACGCTGGAATACTTGTAGGATTTGAGAGGCAGGAGCACGTCATCCGAGAGAGAATTCTGAGTCGCTATAGAAACAATAAGACACATCAGTCATTAAACTACCACGCATCACAGAGAAGTGGCTGCAAACCTTGGACTCTCCTGAAAATAAAGCTCATCGCGTAGAAACAAGCGCCAACGCGCGGAACGTGTCTTTCACGGTCGAAAAGCCTCAGGAGCAGGTGGAAAAAGGGCAAGGAAACACAAGTCTATCTGCAAATCAACCAGAAATGATCTCCTTGGCGCGTCACAGCCTCCTTGACAAGTTGAAACGTTGTCATCGAGATCTGATTCGGGCCGGGAGGGAAAGGGGAAGGAGGAGATCGACACGGAATCACGTGCTTCCCGGCAACTCCGCACTGGAACTGCGCAGCTTCGGATGCAAGGCGAACGCGCCAAAGCCGTAGACATTGGACAATACCTAGTAGAGGCCAGTGAATGGCATTAAGCAGCGCCCGCTAGCTAGGTTGGTGGAGCTTCTTCTATTCAGTGTGCGGAGGCTTCTATTGTCGTTTATTGTGTGGCAGGGCCATCTATTGTACCCTGCGTTGCTCTGATTCAAGCTCAGTTCTCAAGTCGCGTTTCCCCCCCCCGCCGCCGAGTACGTTCTCTCTCTCATCCTCCCTGCCGCTGTTATATCGCTTCACATACTGAACTCGCCGTCTGAAGATATTATGGGTGCTCGCTGAGCTTGGATATGACGGTGGATGATTTGCGCAGCGCTCACCGCGCAGTCGACGACTAAGAAATCGCGATGCCAGGCGTCGTGGAAACGCCCGCCGGGCCGGCCTGGTCAGGGCTGGGATTCACGGTCGCGCACCAGAAGGTTGAGCTGGAGATTGACTTTATGAGCAAGAGTTTGAGAGGGAAGACGGAAATCACGATTCATCCGCACTACAGGGAGCTCAAGGTGATTCGTCTGAACTTTCGCCAGGGCGAGTTGAAGCGGTTGAATGTCAACGGAAAAGCTCCCTCGATCAAATATGCCGACCCTTACGAATCGTTACATCTATACGGACCTCACTACCATTCGCGACTGTCTACGAAGATTGATGGCCTGATGAAAAACCAGCCGGAAGGCGACCTGCTGATCACGCTGCCAAAGAGCGTTCGGATTGAAGAACTTGATCCGTTTTCACTCGAGGCGCAGGATCAAATGGCGCTCCGTGCTACTGATATTCCCGAAGAGTCTGACGGACCGTTAAGCTCCAGAGCTCCCGAAACCTCTCTCCCTCGATTCTCGGCGTTGACCGTTTATGCGGAATTTACGATCGATAATATTCGAGATGGACTACAATTTGTCGGGGTGGATGGTGGCGACAGACGTTATCCACATGCATATACAACGAACAGACTGGGCTATGGTTTTGGCTGTCCTCTCTTCCCTTGTGTCGATGATTCATTGTCCCGCTGTACCTGGGAACTGTCGATCAAATGCCCGTGTACGCTTGGTGACATGTTTGATCGGAAAGCGCGAGATCAGCCGAATAGTACTGCATCGGGTCGCTCCAAAACATCTTCTGGCAGAAGCCGTTACGTTTCGTCTGATGACGAGACGCTCGACCTGACTGTTGTGTGCTCTGGAGACATGACAGATGAGATTGTTGACCCGAGAGACCCCAGCAAAAAGACAGTCTCCTTTGCCTGCGCCTACCCTCTTTCTGCCCAACAATTAGGATTTGCTGTTGGCCCCTTTGAATATGTCAACCTGACCGATTTCCGTGAAAGCGATCAAGACGAGCAACTTGGTCGAAACGCTATTCCCGTACATGGCTTTTGTCTTCCCGGACGTGCAGGCGAGACCAGGAACACGTGCTTTCCCATGGCCAAGGCCATCGATTTTTTCTCACTGAGCTATGGTTCTTATCCGTTTTCTAGCTATAAGATCTGCTTTGTTGATGACCTTCTGGAGAGTACTTTACCCACGGCTTGCCTGTCAATCTGCAGTAACCACTTGCTCTTCCCAGAGGAAATAATCGACCCAATGTACGAGTCGACGCGGAAACTCACTTCTGCCTTGGCATCACAATGGGTCGGCGTCAACATCGTTCCTAAGGAGCCCGCAGACACTTGGGTGACAGTTGGGGTGGCGTGGTATATTACAGACACTTTCATGCGCAAGTTGTGCGGGAATAACGAGCACCGTTTTCGCATGAAGCAAATGTCAGATCGAGTGTGCGACCTCGACTATGAGCGCCCTTCAATTTATGATATGGGAAACATCCTGAAGCTTGACCCTTCCGAAATGGAATTTGTCGCTCTCAAAGCCCCCTTGGTTCTATTCATCCTTGATCGACGACTTACAAAAGCCAGTGGAAAGGCGACGATGTCCCGGATTATCTCGCGCCTCTTCCTGAATGCCAGGATGGGCGAACTGCCCAACGGAGCGGTTACAAGTTCGTTTTTTCAGAAGACATGCGAACGATTAGGTCATGCTAAACTGGACACCTTCTTTCAACAATGGGTCTATGGAGCCGGATGCCCGCGATTCCAAGCCACACAAAGGTTCAATAAAAAGAAATTGGTGGTGGAGATGATGATCAGACAAGTGCAATCTGAACAGCCCACCACCCGTGACCTTGAACGAGACTCTTTTATGCGCGACGTCAAAGAAGAAATCCATGGGGTATACGCCGGGGTTGTGCAACCCGTTTTTACGGGCTCAATGACCATTCGAATCCACGAAGCTGACGGTACTCCCTATGAACACATTGTAGAGATCAAGGAGGGTGTGACCAAATTTGACATTCCTTACAACACAAAGTACAAGCGACTAAAGAGGAATAAGAGGCAGAAAGAGCGCGCTGCTGTGGCCACCGGCGCCGATGGAAACCCAGAGAATCAGGAAGACACACTGCTCTACTGTCTTGGTGACGTGTTGCAAACCGAAGATGAGATCCAGGATTGGAAGCTTGCCGATTGGAGCAAAGAGGATGAAGAACGGATGGGACAAGAATCATACGAATGGATCCGCATGGATGCCGATTTTGAATGGATATGCAAACTGTCTCTTGTCATGCCGGGGTATATGTACCTCTCCCAGCTACAACAAGATCGAGATGTTGTAGCACAGCTGGAGGTAAGCGAACGAATTTTGCCTGTCCAATCCCACAGTTGGTGTTCAGACTTTTGACGAATCTGGTTTCTATAGTCCTTGCAGTACATGGCAGCACAACGAGAACATCCGTTGATATCCACAATTTTTGTGAGGACATTAATGGATCGGAGGTATTTCCATGGAATCCGAACCACGGCCGCGCGAGCGTTGATCAAACATGCGAAGGAGGAGATCAACTGGTTGGGACTGCACCATCTCGAAAGGGCCTTCCAGGAACTTTTCTGCATCCCGGGGTCACCCATGACTCGGTCTAATGATTTTACTGATCGTGCGGCGTATATGCTCCAGCTTGTCATCCCCGAAGTTATTTCCAAGGTACGAGATAATAGCGGGAAGACCCCTATGAGGGTGAAGCGTTTTCTTTATGACAAGCTCAAATTCAACGACAATTCGAATAACGAGGTAAGAGACATTACATATTTAGATTGGCGATATTCTTCTTACCAAATCATACGCAGTACTCGGACAATTTTTACGTGGCTACGCTGATGGAGTCACTATGCGATGCGCTACTCGGGAGAACCGAAAGTCGCACCGATGACATTTCCGACTTCAGTATGGAGGCCGTTCTCGAATTTCAGGCGGAGGAGCAACTAGAGAAAGATGCAATCGCCGAAATCGATCGGTACCGACGGATGGATGAGTGGTCGAGCTCGTTCCAAAATCTCTATACGCGTGCTGCCTTGCGCTGCCAGCGACGGCTGATGGACGCGAAGATGATGGAGAATGATATCATGCAATTCTTGCCTTATACAAGGATGGGAACCTACGATCTCCTTCGTTTAGACGCTTTCGAATGTCTCATCGAATTCGACATCTTCAAGGTCCCAGAAGTCTTGCGGTGGTTCATCTTTACTATGTCTACAGACCCGTCGACGTGGCTCAGACGACAACTGCACATCTTGTTCGGCAGAGCTCTGGCTCCTGTTGCGTTCGGCGAGGGAACTACTGATCAAACAACCGCCCAGCAAGGTGGCTTGATCATTGAGCAAGAGTCCAGCACAGAAGTCCGTCAAGCCGACCTCGCTCGAAGACAGACCGTCACTGGAGCTCTCGATGCCCTTAAAAAAGAGCTTGCCGGCAATGTCACCCTCAAGGAATCGCTTTGGGCTGCATGCAACTCACCATCAGTCGGTCTATTAGAGCTATCAGAACTCACCGACCTTTGCAAAGTCTTGTATGCCGCTATCGTGTCGGTCCAGGTCGCTCTGAAATACCCACGTTACTGGAAAGTCCGTCATACGGGCAAGGTACAGTTGAACAACTATCTCCTCTCTACTTCCTTTCTGACGTTCCACAGGGCAAATTGCATTTCTACAGATCGGACCGCATCCGAACGACTCTGACACCTGGGAAAGATTCCACAGTCGCCAGCACGAAGCGGAAACGGGACGAGCAGGGAATGCCGCCTCCAGCGCCGAGAATCACTTTCAAGCAGTCCAAACTCGGGCCGAGCACACCTTCCACACCTATCCATGCACCGCCGCAACACCACATCACCAAACTCCATATTCCAAACTTCCCAAGCCCATCTCAACCAACTCCACGGGCATCGAATACACCATCGACTCCTGCTACTCCGGGTGGAGGCCTTAAATTAAAACTGAAATTCGGACAGAAACCAACCTGACCACGATGTCTTTCGGTCTTGAACTCTATCAACACTTGAACCAGAAACAATAAACATTTCTTATCTTCTCGCATATACGGATGGGAAAGCAAGCAGGATTTTAGGCGCGTTGGTCGGTCTTCTGGAGATATCAGACTTAGTAATTCTTTCCATTTCTTTTTACCTCTCTGGTGCTGTTTGGGGTTTTATTCAAGGACCGGCAGATACTCTGGCTTGCAGCGCTGGTATCTTTTGAACTCCCCTCGTCATTCTCGGTCCTAGCTGAGCGCCAAGCTAAAGAACTTATCTGACAAGATATGACATAAAATGAACTCTTAAATTCATTGTGCCTGCTTCCTTGAACTGTAGACGAACAAGTACAGGGTTCTGAAAGAGAAAAGGAAAAAGAATAAGAAGAAACTTCGATCGTCCCGGTATGAGCAACCGACCCATGAACTCCCAATTGCATTAAAGGTATGAATGAAAAAGATCCCACTTAGGTGTGATGAGCGTCATGATTTTATGAATGTCCATTCGTACAAAAGTCAGATGTACTCTTTTTTTTTATTTATCGCTTATTCGCTCCAAAGCCTGTAGATCCAAAGAAAAACAAATTAGCCATGCAGCTCAAAAAAAGGAGATTGGGAAAGAGTATTGCAGAATACAGACCTCGAGCATCACGATCGAGTTGCCTCGAATCACCTAACCCAGTCGATCAGTAAACCACAGATTCACGAGTATTCTTCTTTCTTCATCTTCGATGCAAGCCTTACCACCATGCCGATTGCGACTTTCTCCCCGCCCTGCTTCTCTTCAAAGGCCTCATCCAGCACAACGTTCATGAAGACCTATATGAAGAACCCCGAGCATTAGCCGACAGACGTGAAGTAACGGGGAAAGATAGCGACAAAAGCGATGTAATCGGGAAGGCAGGAACCGCTGGCGAGGAACAATCCTCTCCGTGAAACATACATCGTAGCCTCGCAGGATGCCGATGACTTTGCGGTTGCCGTTCAGTTGGCAGAATACCCGCTTTTCCATATACTATAGAACGCAAGAAGTGTTAGCAGGGAATCCTAGACAAAGGCAAGTGCGCAAGAGCAGTACCTTCTTCAATTCAGGCTGTGCTTGAGGCATCTTGGCTGGTTTCTGCGGTGATGTCTCCTTGTCGTTGTTGATGAGATCCGCCCAATCTTCGGCGGGAGAAGCTGGGCTCGCCCGGAGAAAGGATGTTCCCGCGACAGCTCCTCCGTCATGCCGCCGCCGATAACTGCCCAGGCGTTTCCTCTGTTTATGACCTTTTGTTTTTGAGTGATTGGAAGATAAAAAGTATTTTGCTTATCACAATGAGCGCGGCGTTTGCAAATAGAAGAAAACCCCGCAAGATCCTCCAGGATGACGAGGATGGGAATGATGGCGAACAAGGTACGTCAAATTTCCCCGCCGCGAGACTTGGAAGGAAAGACGGCTGATGGATGGGTCTAGATAATGGGCCTGTGGTGAAGAGACCAGCAAGCTCGAAACCGAAACCGAAATCGAAGTTACGGCTTTCTTTCGGTCCAGGTGCAACGTCGATGGCCGACGATGAGGACCAGGACGGCGGAGTTATCACGCCGAAACGACATGGGTTGGGACGCAAGGTCCTGGAGAAGAGCGCGCTACATCGCTCGATAACACCGTCAGGGTCCTCTGAAAGGCTTCCGTTGCGGGTGGGACACGATCAAGATCGACCGAGCTACAGTGACGAGTATCTGAAGGAGCTCCGGAATTCGACACCTTCGACGCCCAAGACGGGGACCGACGACGAGAAAGAGAAGACAGTCGATGTCGCTGCGAAGTTTGGGGAGATAATGCACATGTCCGCGCCGTCGGCGATTCCCAGCGAAGCGGAGATCAGAGAGAAGAAAGCCAGACGGGCGCGGCTTGCGAAGGAGCAGGACTATATCTCGCTAGATGACACCGCAGAGGACAGCGGGCAATGGGTTCTCAAGGATGAGGAGCAAGAAGTCGAAACTAGACTCGTTAGAGATGATGAGGATTTCGCAGAGGGTTTCGACGAGTACGTGGAGGACGGGAAGATCTCTCTAGGTCGGAAAGCCGAGCGCGAACAGCAACAACGCCAGCGCGAAACTATGCGGGAGTTGATAGACGACGCCGAGGCCTTGTCCGATGAAGACGACTCTGATCTGGAAGAAAAGGCGGCATATGAAGCTGCGCAGACTCGTGCGGCGATGGGTAACGGGAGTTCGGATCTCCCAGGCCGACCAAAGACGCCTCCCAAAATGACCGCGCTTCCACGTCTCACGACAAGCCTCGATCGTCTTCGTCTCACGCTGGCGGTAATGGAGAAGTCTAAAGCGCAGATGATCACCCGCATGGATGACCTAAGGAAGGAGAAGGCCGAGATTGCCGTTCGCGAGGTGGAAATCCAGGCCTTGATCAAGGAGGCTGGCGAGAACTACGAGAGGTTGCGCACTGAGGCCGGCCTCACGCCGGGGTCTGAGGTCGATGGGACAGGCGCCGGTGCGCTTCAAAAATCACGCGGGCTCGAGAGCTTTGGAGCTTCCATGGGGACGCCCACCCCTGGATCTGAGGAGGAAACATGAACACACCAAATTTGAGGTTGCCATCTTCTCAGAACCATCCATTTCCTCAACATGACAAATCGGTTTTCATACTGTGGTCCAGATAGTCGCTGTGTGTACGAGTCTACGTTGGTCGTTAGGCATTCATTCCCGTTGAGCGTGGCATAGGGCAAGCTAACTATGTGATTAGGAGGCAGGGAGGTCCTGCATACACACGACCATACCAGCTCTCTACAGCCAAATGCCCCGTTCGCTGGACATAACACCAGGGCAGACGGCCAAGAGCTGCAAGTAGGATCTATGTGGAAGCAGTCGACCCTTTCTACCTCAACAGGTCTAGCTCTTCCCATACAGATCCACAGACATGAATAGACTATCCGAAGCTCTCCTGAGCCTCAGTCTCCTGACAGAACATCAATGCAAACCATCCTTTACGCTGTCTCTCTGTATCTGCACTAAAATTCCCGTTGACTCGAATACTCGATTAAAATGCTTTCTGCAAGTGCCTAGCTCATCTCCCATCTATGATCAACATCAATAGACTGCAAACAGGTCTTCAAGGATCGTCTATCGCGAGTCAAATTGCCGGACCACAACTGTCTGAAAACAAAAGTACATACTATACCTGATCTATTTTAAACAAGGCTATATGCATGGAGTACATTGCTGGACATTGCTGTGAGCAGCGCACAGATCCAGAACGGTCTGCCGGTACATCCATCCTCACAACCTGCGATCTCTGCAGGCTGCATTACAATCCAGATGCTTATTTAGGTTTCTTACAGCCACTGCCAGCTGGTTGACTGTCCGAGCAAACCGGCAGGGCGGGTACGGGCGAAGACATGCATATACTATGAGTTTATGCCAGAATTTATTCCAATTTATTAATATTTCTACTACAAAATCGTGATCTAGTGGTTACTACACCAAGTACCCGAGTAATATCCCGTCTCATACTAGAATATAAACACCAATCTACTCTTTTATACCAGAACAAAAGGGGGACAGCGGAATGTTCTCTATACCTGAGGATATGCAGACAATGCGGGGAAGCGCATCTGGTCCAGTTGGCTCGGGGATGCAGGAAACCACCACCACCACCTTAAATCCCCCCCTCCAGCGGTGAGAGACCAGCAGCTATCCTCAGCATCCTCCTGGTAACTCACCGCCATGGCAGCCTGGACAGAATGAAAGATGGGGTAACACCGGGTGAGTGCTAGCTAGCTTCGAAGGTAAATCATGGCTCTGTTACTGATAGCAACAGCACACCCTACAGGCCCACCATCTGCAACCCATCTTCTTTGTTCTCGGAAGCGGTTGGATGAGTCGACCCAGTCTGCATCGGCCGATGAAAGAGCCATGCCAGGAATGACGGGAACGCATCGGCTGATCGACATCGGATGTCTCTCCGTCCATCCCGTTGACAACTGCCGAATTCTCCGATTCAAACGGGCCTGCGGCCTGGGTTTGCAGCGGTGTGGCCTCTACACGCAGACGCCTGGCGATGGGGAACGGTGAGTCCCGTCCGCGGGCATGTACCTACCCGGGGCAAGAACTCTCGACGCAGGGTGTTGGATGCCATCCGTGATCTGCGTGCCTGCATCAACGGGGGATTTCTCTTCTAAGCCTTTTCACCTTCCGCCAAGTCCCATTGTCGAGTTGGAACCGTTCACGCCAAGATGTTCTGGAGGGAGCGAGACAGACGGGGGAAGCCCGTTGCTCGTCTGTTTGAAAAGGGGAAAAAAGGTTTTTTTTTTTTTTTATGTATGCTGTCAAGTGGAGAGCCGCAGGAGGCAGGAAGCTTTCGTTCACAGACAGACAGGAACATACCAGCCCATACAACCGATCATCTTCGCGATTCCCCCCTTTTGATGAGACATCCAGGTTAATACTCTTGTAGTCTTTTCATTCCTTCAAGGAGGCCCTCGTGCTCTCTACAGGGATGGGGGAGAAGGCATGCTGTTCCCTGTTGGTGGCAGACTCGAGTCCGGATGTGTGTGTGTGTGTGTGTGTGGAGGAGCGATTAGGAGTCGGCGATGATCCATGAATGCTGGTATTAAAAGGGCAAAGATGCTCTCCATGGCATCTGAGACCAGATTTGAATCAAGTGCACACTCAAAAGTGCTTTGTATATCCTCTTCTCCTTGCCATTGTTGGTTGATCTTCGAGATCTTTCAGAAGCATGTCTACGATTTGACATGCTCGTAAACATTAGAGGTGAGTATGCTCTGGCTGTCTAATATCGGATACTGCTTTTCTGATACAATTGCCGAAGCCAGATTTGTATACCCTGTTCAAGTGCAACTACTATCACCAGTGAAGCCCAACTGAAGGTGAAACCCTCCCAGACGGATTCAACCCTCTGATGCTGACCTTTGACCCTGCAGGCTGCCAGACAGACCCCTCCCAGCAACGTGCATAGATCTACGTCGAACCTTCTTTTGGGCACTGTGTTGGTGACCATCCATTCAGACTGACATCTTGAAGCGGTGAACACTATCATCGATTGATCTGGACTAGATCCAGGACTTAAAGATGATGCTTCATGACCTAAACCGTCCTGACGATCCCAAGATGTGGACAACCTCGATCCCGGACGCATACACGCTCTTCATCCATCCCCACGGCTTATCTGATATCCGTCTGGAAACTCTGGGATTTGACGACAGATCGTGGACACCGCAGTGTCGAACCAGGCCGGAAAGACTAGCCATGATGTCAAATTACAACGGCAACAACCAGAAACAGGGTATGATGAACGACGCATATGTCCCTGAAGAAGCCGAATTCTGTTACCCCTGGTCAGAATCGTCGCATGGGGCATCACCATTCCAATCCAAACCACAAGGATCATGTCAATATGCTGCCTGCAACGGCCTGGTGGACTTTTCTCGAAGACCGCAATCATGCTACAGCTTGGGCTCATTGGACCAACCCGTGGACGAGAACCAGGGACTGTTCATGTTCGACGGAGAGCCTACCTTTGTCGAATCCTGCTTTGTACCAGATCAGTCCTTTCACAGCGCCATCTATCCGAGCCAGGAGTCCCCCACCGTGAGCTCGATCATGACCTCCGAGGATGACCACCCGTTTTGTATGCCCCATATCGTCCTCCCCCCGTCCTGGACCACCGCATCCTCCATTCCATATTCCTCCAAGATGCAGGCAAGTTCGTCAGACGGGACAGTAGCAGATGCACCCAACCACGTGAACTACTGCTTTACGCCACAGATTTCTCCATCTGTCGATGCCAACGGGCTGTTCATCGTTGAGCCGTTCGATGCTTCTTCCATCCTACCCATTAAAAATCACATCGACCGCGACCACCACATCACCAGCCAGGTTCACCACTGGCTCGGCTTCCAGAACCAACGTCCGCTGGCAGAGCAGCAGAAAACGACAACGACCGCCATAGCACCGCAGCCGCAGACCACCGAGACAGAGAGCGATCACAAACCAGACACCAGCGGCGCCGACTCGGAGCGGGAAGAACACGAGCAGGACCCTTCCTCGCCCTGCACGGACACCCGCAACGCCTTCCTGATCGACTGCAAGCGCCGCGGGATGTCGTACAAGGACATCAAGCGGCTGGGCGGGTTCCGCGAGGCCGAGTCCACGCTGCGCGGACGGTTCCGAACTCTCACCAAAGCCAAGGACCAGCGTGTACGAAAGCCCAAGTGGCAGGAGAGAGATGTCTGTTTTTCTTCTTTCTTCTCCCTTTCTTATTCCTTTTGTCTCTGTGTGTTAATTTACTCAGGTCCACCTGCTTTGCCAAGCAGTGGATTCGTGCGATCCAGGCTGCTACCGACGGTGTATGTTGCGAGACCGGGCAAACCTGCCGAAGATCTCATGGAAGAGCGTTGCGCAGTACATCTGGGCGAACGGGGGGTCGTACCATTTCGGCAATGCAACGTGTAAGAAGAAGTGGTACGAAATTCACGGGGTGAGGATGTGATACATAGTACTGGTAATTATATTTTGATTAGTTCTGTTACAGAATTGGGATGAAAATAACTTTCGATAATGTAAATTTATAATGAATCGTGTATCTTCATCATAGACAGGACTAGAACTATAAACGTGGTTTCTTCAGGAAATAGACCTACAGAAAAGACACCTCGTGTCGATCTGATCTCGGGAAGCCAATGGTAGTCAAGACCTGGGTAAGGGTATCGTGGTTCTTGCGCAGCTGGTCCCATTCGGCGTGGGCCTTGACCATCAACGTGCCGGCGAGGATGGTGCCGTTCAAGGAGATCTGGCCTGCACCCAGGACTTGGTCGCGGGCAGTCGAGTCGACGGGCACAGAGGCCGTCTCGTTACGGCGCGGACAAATGAGCATCGTGTCGACGGTCATGGAGAGGTTGTAGCTGATGGCGGCGGCGGGGCCTTGCGTCAAGGGCAGCGAGCTGTCGACCTGATCGCGGGAGACCTCTGAGAAGAGCTTGGCCACGGCCAGAGCGGCATTGTAGAGCGAGAGATACGTGGCGTGCAGGGTTTCCGGGGACGGGTCCGCGGGGATGGGGAGAGCGTAGTGCGCAAAGGGCAGAGAATGGAGGTGCAGGTATTCGCTGCGATCTGAGGGGGGCATGGGAGGTGAAGAAGCAGCCGAATGAGAGGCAGAGTGAGGTGCTGTTGCAGCAGCCGAGATCAAATCGATCAAGGGCTGCCAGCCGGCTTCGTCGTGGGGTTCCCCCCCATCACCACGCATATCTTCTACAGGCAGGAACTGCAGATGGCGATGCGGCTGGCTTGCCCCGCTGTGCTCGCCAGAATTGAAAAACGCAAACAATCTCCTGTTCCTCTGTCCGTTATGACTGCCGTGGCTGCCGTGGCTGCCGTGGCTGCCATGGCTGGCGGTCTCCTCCCACGCCTTCAAGCACGCATATGTCACCTCCAGGTCGCGCGCTTCCAGCAGATCGGTCTGGGCCTTCCATGCCGAGGTCGCGAGGATGAAGTGGTTGGGAATGACAGGGAACTTGTTGAGCACCAGCGTGTGGGTCGGATTCTCGGCGGGGATACGGGCAAGGAGGAGGTCCGCGGAGGGATCCTCGAAGGGGTCCGGCTTGGGTCCGGGAGGGGGATCGGTGGGTTTCGCCGACGGTTTCTTTGCAAGAGCTGGACAGTAGCGGAGTTGATACTAATAAAGGTATTCATTCTTCATTCATTCACGTGTAATGGCTAGAGAGCTCACCAAGGTAGAAGTTGTGGACTTACTGGAATGCCCCCCACGTGGAGGGTGGTTAATTGAGTCGGCGAGAAGACCAGGTGGCCTGCATCTTTGGCCGTGTGGAAGCGCCGAGCGACCAGCGCAGGAAGACTTTCCGAGAGACCCAGCTGCATGGTGTTGAATGGATATGCAGTAGGTGTACAGAGTGGTAGGAGTATTGTCGTAGAGTGAAACTGTCGGAGCGGGGCACTGTTATCTGAGACTTGACTAGGAGAGAAGAGAAGCTACTCCGGAACACTCAGTGGGTGTCTATGGCATCTAATAATATACGATAGAAGAACCTGTATTCCTGTTGTTGATATAGAGTACTATTAGCAAGTACAGCCGTGCTTTACAGCATTTAGGACAGCGATTATGTACGGAGTAGTAGGACAAGGACAGGACAGGACAGGACAGGACAGTGAGGTGATTTTACCCAATTCGGTCGTCACGGGATCTCGTGTTCTGTTCGTGACGTGTGACGCGTCGACTAGCTCGATCCGGAATCCTTTAGCGAGTCGCGACTTCCCTCGATCTCAGCTCAAGATTGAGAAGAGAAAAAGGAAGGGGGGATGAGATGAATGAAAACGAGGTATAAAGGTAAGTGCAGTACTTCTCTATTCTACTCTAATCAACAGGCCAAAAGCATCCATTCCGCCAGTAAGTCAAGTTCCTGAACTCTACACGATCTGTGTGCACTACTCTGACGATCCTCTTGGTCTTCTAAGAAATGACGACCCTTTCATCCCCTGCCCAGATGGTCTCCTGGGACGAAGACCGCTCGTTGAAGGAGGTCCCTCGCCTGACCCCCGCCGCGGTGAAGATGGCTCTGCCAGACCTCCACCTGACCATCACAAGCAGTTACCAGATGGTCTATCTGCCCGCCGGATCAGGACCAGGCCTGGAGAAAGAGGGGTCGGCGGTCTTCATCTTCACGGACCGCGTGGACTCCACCGATGAGGAGACTCCCGGCAGCTTCATGACGCAGGGCAAGGGCATGTTCATGGCCGCGACGTACCGGGTTGAGGGGACGTTTGAGATCATCGCGGGCAGTGGACAGGGGAAGCTGGGCGAGCGCTTCAAGGAGGGGAAAGGCAGTTTTGCGTCGGGCGAGGGAGGGAAAGTGAATTATGTTTTTGAACTGAAGTAGAAAAATATATTTATTTATTTTTTTAATCTTGAATTAGAAGACTATACTATACTTCTTTTTTTTAATCTGCTACAACCATCGCGGACGGCGAGAGAGAGAATAGTAGGTAGAAAACCCGGCCACCGAGCTTGCCAGGAGAAGCCCGTTGAAGGCCGCCATGATATAGAACGGCGCCCCCGGCGAAGAGACGTCAAAGAGCAGCCCGCCGAGTTTGGTGAGAAGCAGAATCCCCGCGCCGCCGTACAGAGAGTACACGCCTGCGATGGATCCCTTGAGATGTGATAGCTGCTGTTGTTTAGGGAAGAAAGGTGGTTCTTCCTCGTCTTCTCCTCTTTCTCGTCTTTCTCTTCCTTCTCCTTCTTCTCCTTCTTCTCCTTCCTCCTCCTCGTCAATTATGTCTTGTCGTGTATGACCATGTTGTACCGTGGTATCAACATGATCCGCGCTGGTGACGCTAAGAATGCCCCTACTGAGCACTGCGAGACTGCATACGATCGCTCCGATCTGGCTAATCCCCAGCAAGGCCATGACGACAAAGACCCCCCCGTTCCCCTGGGGTCCCTTGAACTGCGGGCTCGGCAGCAGCGCAAAGACAATGTAGCCGATGATGCCTGCGACGGCGGCGAAAAACAGCGGCGCGTGGTACTGTCGTCGGGAGCGGGCGGAGAGAAAACCGAAGAAGGGCGCCGCGATCAACGCGATCAGCTGCGACACGCCCGTCAGGATCGACGCGAGGATATATGCCTTTGGACAGGAGCGTTTGATGTCGCCGAGCCCCGCGTCGGTGTCGGCGACGAGACCTGAGGATTCGTCGCAGAGACCCGAGACGCGGTAATAGTGGTTCACGAAGAGGGGGATGAACAGCGAGATGCCCACCGAGGAGGCCCGCGCAACAAACCCGCCGATATAGCCCAGACCGATGTCTGGGTTACGGAAGCCCAGACCAAGCGCCGTGGTAAGCTGTTTCCAGTACGGTAGGGAAGAGGAGGAGGAGGAGGGGGCCACGCCGGTTCCCCCGTGAAGGGAAATCCCCGAACGCAGAGACCTCCAACCCTTGTGCTCTTCACCTGGCAGATTCCTCAGCCCCACGAAGCAGCACAGGCTGACGGCCAGAGCGACGATGGCGACGACGTGGTAACTCTTCCGGATGGCCTCGGCGGGCGACAGGCCGTCCTTCTCAAACCGAGCAGGCAGCGGAAGGAAAACAGTCAGCGCGACGAGAGCGCCGCAGCCGGCAAACATGCCCACGAACCCTGCCAGCGGCGCGGCAGCATCGTTTCCTCCTCCTCTTCCTCCTCCTCCTCTTACCCTTTCTGTTTCGTTGACACGACGTCGGTTTAGAAACCGGTGCGGGGTGATGGTCAGCTCCGACGAGACGGAAACCCGATACGCCTGGGCTTGGCTCTGTGTCTGGCCGGTGCTCAGCAACGATTTCCCCGTCACAGCGGGGAGGACGGCGGTGACCATGGTCGAGACAGCAGCTCCGCCAATACTGAAGAGTAGTCTTGCGAGCAGGAGATGGGGGTAGACGTTCTTCGCCTCGACGAGAAGCAGTAGACTAAATGCTATGATTGCATATCCACTCACGCAGACCTAAATGATAAATAATCAATAAATAATAAATAAAACGAAATAATACATCCAAGTAAAAGAGAGATGTACCATTCTCACACCGATTCTATCCGATAAAACACCCCAAACCGGACATGCCAGCAGAGCAAGCAGCTCGTCTGCGAAGCCGAGGGTTCCCACGGCGTCGCCCTCGCCATGAGTCCGACCGATCAGATCCGTGACCACGAAGGAGATGGAGGCGTTGACGAAGACCAGGAAGGCGATCGAGAAGGGACACACGGCCAGAAGGTAGGTGAGCAGGTTGACGCGCATTTCTTGTTTTCTGTCATCAACACCGTTTCATTCGAGGAGGAGAGAACAGTTGGAGACTCTTTACTGTGTTACTGTGTTACAGAGTACTCTGTACTGTCTCCGACGTGACGCGGCAGTCACATGACGTCAAGGTATCCCTTCATTCTGACCTTCATATCTACTAGGTAATTAGTATCTCGATTCGTAGTCTAATAGGTTGGTTGCACGAACTATTATTAATAGTTTCTTTAGTTCTATTGTTATCAGATCGGATAATGGCTAGTATAATCTCTACGGAGTACTCTTAGTACTCTTAGTGTACTCCGTAGAGACTGTACTCCGTAATGTTGATTATAATTAGTTAATATCGTAATTCATTATAGTTCTCCGTATACTCCGTATTAGTTACAATTCTCCACATGAAGATATATCCCTTGCGCCCCCGTCCCCTTGTGCACCGCCCGCTCGTCGCTGATCTGGACCACTGTCCGGCGCACGGCAGCAGAGAGCCGTCGCGGCCCAGCCACGGCAATGGCGGACTCGCCCTGCGCGGCGCAGAGACCGTCCCATAGGAGCGAGTCGATTTCCGGTCGCTGATAGTTGATTTCGCTCCAGGGGGGCACTACTTCAATACTTGAAGAAGCTGAATTCGGATCCTTCTGCATGACATTGCTATCCTTTTCTGCGATGCAGCATCCGCAATCGCCGGCGCAGGTGCAGGTTGATTTCCCTGCGCTGTCGGGCGAGTCGCACGTTAGGAATGCTTTAATCTCAAGGGTGATGCCGGCGTTCTCAAACGCAGGGAGCACATCTAGAAGCTCCTGGCGGATCCAGGACAGGGAGGCGCGGTCCTTGACGATCCAGACGAACTGGACGTTTCGTAGGGGTAAGGTGGGGGTGGTCTGGGCGCGCGCGGCGAGGCTCAGCAGGACGGAGAGAGTGAAGGTTACCCCCGTCCCGCCGGCAACTAGAAATAAAGTATCGTAGCAGGCGAAGTCGGTCTGCGAGGCAGCCGGGTAGGGCCCTTCGATCAGCGCGAGATACTGCTTCTCGCATACAGCTTCCGGGTCGTGGTTGTCAGGCTGGGCGGCGGGGGCGGCGGCGGCGGCAGTGGCGATGCGGCGCGTGAAGCCGCTAAACGTACGCAGGATCAAGACGAGATCACCCTGGTGCGAATCCGGGGTGGACAGGATGGTGGCCGGATGGGACTGGGCGAGGCCGAAGCGCGGCAGGGCGAGAAGCACATGGTCGCCGGGAGCCCACCGTTTGATGGAGGAGCCCCTGATATGAATCTTGGTGGCGCGGGCGTCGTCGAGAGAGTGTAGGGTGGCACGGGCGGGACGGAGATTAGCCAGGGCATACCGAGCCGTACGGACCAGCCGCTCGAGCAGGTAGAGAGCAATGGCGATGTAGACGTAGACGCGCGAATACAGCGCTGTCGACGGCAGATGCATCATGACGGCGATGATGAAGCCGAAGTAGGTGATGATATGCTGGAAGACGAACCAGTTGTAGGCATAGTAGCGCATGGGCGCGAAGGTGGTCAGGTTCATCCACAGCAGGATGGCGTAGGCGGCAATCCCCGTGGGCGGGCACGAGTCGGTCGCCCACTCGAGCTTCTCCACTCCGTACTGCTGCCAGCCGTAGCTCTGGAAGCCAAAGTGGAAGGTCGAGAGCAGCAGCGAGCCACGGGCGACCCAGCGGTGCAGCACGTTCAGCCGTTGGTAGGAGGTTCCCGACAGCACGCCGACGAGACTGTTCTTCCCGGCGAGGAGCACAATCAGCGGGATCTGGGCAACGGCCAGCCAGGCAGCCTGCACGCTGAGCGCCTGATAGTACTGGGCGCCCGTGACGTCGTTGTCGACGAACTCCAGCAGCAGAATGAACAGCAGGTAGGCGGCAACCATCCAGATGGCGCCCAGGTCAGGTATCCGGATCCAGGGCTCCAGCACGGGGAGATACGGTTGTAGATAGGCGATTTCCCGCAGGGTCGCAGTGGTTGTCGCAATCCATCTTATCGGTAGAGATGACGGCCGAGCGGGTTGTTTTTCGTTCTTGAGGCTTGCTTGAAGTCTGTCGGGAGTTAGCAGTGACCAGCAGAACAGGGAGAGAGCTCTAGAGAGACCTTGATCGCTGGATACTCGTATGAACGACATTGCAGAGGGTAGCCACGCCAATCACAGCCACAATGCCGTACCAGAAGCGTCTGGCAGCGGCGTTACCCTGGACCTGCAGCTGAGTGTCGTCGAGGATGTCGGCGAGGAAGTCGAGGCGTTGCGTGTAGTTGGAGAAATCCACGCCGGAGTCGGTCAAGGGACCGTCCGAGGAGCCACTGCTCATATCCATGATGGCACAGTGATTTGGTTAGATCGAAGAAGAAGAAGAGGCAAGGATCATTCTGAAGAAGAATGAATAATATTAATAATAAATCCAATTGCACTGGTATTTGCAGTCCTGCTCTATCTATCTTACATAAGAATGTGCTCAAGTGCGGTGGATCAAGGTTAAGATATAAGACCTCCTCCAGAGAATTACACTACTATAACAAGTAGTTATCTATTAACCCTCTATCTCAAGCTATGGATATGACCTCTACGTCCATGGCCATGGCTACTTCCACAGCCATGTCGATGACGGTGGTCTTTCAGAACGAACAAAACACCTCCCTGTACGCCACTGCCTGGACGCCTTCTTCCTCAGGCTCCTACGCCGGCACCTGCATCTTCCTCCTCCTCCTCTCCGTCCTCCTACGCTGTCTCTTCGCTTTCAAGGCAGTCTGTGAACGTCGCTGGCGGGTTCGGCGTCGTCGTCGTCGGTTTATTGCCATTGCCGGAGAACAATCCCAGTTGCAATCACAACCAGATGACGCCAAGATCGCCGACGAGTCCGTTCGCGTGCTGGCTTCAAGGCCAGGTTCGGTTCCAGTTCCGTGGCGGTTGAGTGTGGATCTACCGCGAGCGTTGATTTTCCTGTGCATCTCTGGGGTTTCTTATCTATTGTAAGTTTCTTTTTACCTGTTTCTCTTATTATTATATTTTCCCATATGCTAACTAGTATGTAGAATGCTGGCTGTTATGACTATGAATGTGGGCTACTTCTGTTCAGTGCTGGCAGGGGCTTTCCTGGGGGATCTGGCAGTTGGACGATACATTACAGACGATGACCATTAACTAATTTACGGAGTATCAAGTTATCAATTCATGGAATAATAATACCTTACTATCGGTACAGATGCCATAACTACTACATAAGAGTTTCAGTGAGCAGATTTGAGCATATTTCTTAGCCACGTTCGGACTAGCGGTGGGTCGACTGTCTTATTCTCAAATGCTTAGCATGCAATATTCTATTTATTCATTACAATCTATCGTTATTATTGAATATATTATTAATAATTGTCTATTATCAAGTATGGCATGACAGTTGACAAGCAATTCTAGACCCACGTCTTGTCTTAAGCTTTCAGTGGCCCAGACTATCCACAGAACCGAGTCAGACTTGCGCAAATGAGAAGCCTTCTCAAGATAATACCCCGAGTCATCTGTGTCCCAGAGTCCCAGGTCACTCCCCTGTCGTATCTCAGTGACTCGGCCCTGCTCGGAGTCTACCTAGGTGAAAGCTAGCCCCGCCTGTGCGAGCCTTGGTATTTGCCTTGAAATCGGTCATGCGATACGAGTTTTCGAGGTTGTGTCTCGAGAATCGGAGCGAGGGATGGGAGAGGATGTAGCTTAGTAGCATTGAGAATAGAGGATGGTACCGCAGCCTTCGTTTAGACAGATTGCAACTATAAGAAGACGATTTCTCAGTACCTGGCGCCTTGGATCAAAAGAGTACTCACTACTTTTCGACTTGGGTAGTGAAGGAACAAATAGTGACAAGCAATGTTTCCCTGTCCTTTCTTGAGACAAGATTCAAGGCAGAGTCTAGAAAGAGACCTTCATCTCAATGGAAGGCTGCTTCAGTGGATGCAAAAGGGCGCTGGGTTCTCGGTCGCCATGTCTTGCTGTTTTTCTCAAGACCTGGGATTGTTGGGTAAATAGAATCTCCAAGAGATCCTCCACGCTATAGATAGGGAGTAGAAGGTATTCTAGTCCATTCAGGAGTGTTTTAGGTTTATAATAAGGCATATGTTGCCATGATGTGGTAATACTAGATAAGAGGAGAGAAGAAGAGAGAAGAAGAGGAGGTTTTCTGGCAAGCGGACAAAGTCTTAAGAACAAGTAAAGCAATATTTCTTAACCAAGACATTGATATATACTTTAGAAAAATAGTTTAACACCTACTTATTCCTGCTAAGTTTATATTCAAAAGTGTCACTCCATCTATATCTCCAGCTATTTATTCTCCTTACTCTCTAGGAACTGCTTGGCCTGCAGCATGCCAGGAACCTGATGAGCCCCTTCGATAGGACTGATCCAATTAAGGCGCCTGTCAGTGAATACCTCCACCTCCGGCTTGTGCTCAGTCATCGTCTCGATGTCATCCAGAATTCCTGCCCGGAGGACGATGGTCTCGGGGGTAGTTCCATCAGCCTTTACTTCTTGCCCATAGATCGATGATCCTGTGTCGACAGTTAGTTACAGTCATCTAGAAACATCCGTGCTGGGTTCCATTCAATACACACCACACTCTGGACAGAAGTAATTCTCATAAGACTTTCCACTGTCTGCTGTTTTGGCCACTGCTTTCGGACTGCCGGTGACCTTCAGATCGGCGCGTTTGACCACAAAACTATACGTGCAGAGGGTGCCAGTAAGCTTGCGACAGTCAAGACAGTGGCAGAGTGCCTATTGAATAAGATTAGTCGATGAACACTCTGTCTTGGATATGGTACTAACTGATGCCAAGGGCTGGCCAGCATATTCGACCTTGACCTTTCCGCAGAAACAGCTGCCAACAGCCATTTTAGTGTTATAGAGGAGTGAAGAAATCAAATGTCTAGATAATATTTTTCCTGGGAAAGATAGCAAGAGTTGAGCCTCTTATATTAGTTGTCTAAGGCTGACTGCATAAAGTGATGATTCGTTGGCCCCAACGGAAGAGTGTTGATTAGAAATATTTAGTCAGGATTCAGCAGGGAAGGCTTCAAGTCTCACTTTGTTTTATGTAGTATCAATATTGAATAACTACTTACCTGCACTAGACATAAGCTGTTTATCAATCTATATTTATCTTTTACTCCGTCTTAATACATGCCTATGACGTTGTGGCTTAGAAGCCTCGGGTTTTTGGTGATATATTATGGAATGGATATTCGACATAAGGATTGATATATTCTATATCTTATGCAGTATTATATTAGGTATTGATTGTATTTCCTCTTTATATTTACAGGATAGTCCTATTACTACCGAAGGTGCCAACCCCTCAACCTCAATTTTATATAAAATAGCAGAATAGAGTCTTTTCTTTTAGAAATACCTTGCTTGAATGAGTTATGAAATCACTGATCTACCATTCACTAGGTCTTGTACTTGAAATAATAATAGATTCTAATATACACAATCTTAGTCTTATATCTTCCTCAATAAGTCTATAATATCACCTCGGTATGTGACGCTGACTAAGAATAACACTGCAACTCCCATATTATTATTGTCCCTCCGTATTGTCGACACAGCCTCATGGAGGTCCATCATGGCCGCACCAGAACCCGCCAGGCCTGTCAAAGCTGTCGGAAACGGCGGAGAAAATGCAACGGGCGTCTCCCCTGCAGCCAGTGTGTGACGTACGAGTATGAGTGTCGGTATCTGGGTGATGGGCCTGCTGGTGACCAAGTGAGACATGGAGAGAAGGAGGAGGAGGAGGAGGAAGAGGAAGAAAGAGAGGAGGAACATCGGAAAAAGAAGAGAAGAACAGCTGCAAGAAAAGCAGAGACGGAACCGACTCAACCAACCCCCAGACCCGTCGTGGATACGGTCAAAGGTCGGTACTCGGGCGCCCACAGCAGCATCGTCCTGCCGCGCCGCATGGGCCAGTCGATGGAACTGGGTAGCGAGCTGCGCCTACACTCGTTCGGTTGGAACATCAATACGCGGCCAGAGCTGTTGGCGCCTGCCGTCGTCCCGGTCGTGTGTCGATTGCTGGACGTGCATACGCTGTCGACGTATAGCCAGGTGTTTTTTGACGTGGTCGACCCGGTCTACCACTTTCTCGACCGCGCCCGGTACTTGGAGCGCTGTGCAGCGTACTGGGCGGAGCCGCCGCGGGTGCTCGAGGACTTCGAGGCTCTGGTTGCGGGCGTCGTCGTGCTGGGCTCCTTCTTCGCCGACACTCCCGTCGCCGTCGAGGCGGAGCTGGTCGAGCACGCCAAACAAGTGCTCGATCTGGGCTGTGCGTACGCCCCGGGGAGACTGTCACTCGACCAGGCGGCCGCCTGGATCGCGAGAACGCTGTATCTGCGCCTGGCCACCCGCCCCCATCTGGCCTGGTACGCCTCCTGCTCGGCCATGCATGTGGTGGAAGCCATGGGGTTGCACGTCGATCTGCGCACCGTCGATGTGGCCGGCAGGGGGGACTCGTCCGTCGCAGCGCTGACGACGCCCGAGTTTGTCGCCGCGCGACGTAACCTGTTCGAGTGCGCCTCCTTTCTGAATGCCATCATCTCCGCCGACTACGGCCGCTCGCGCGTCGTCCTGCAGGACTCGATCACCACCACCACCACCACCACCACCGCCGCCGCCGCTGCCGCTGCCGTCGCTACCACTGCCGTACTGGGTTCGTCCGGTCTCGCCGCCGCCGCCGACAGGCCCATGTCGAAGCTGACGGCTCTCCTCTTGCGTCTGGAGCGCGATCTCCCGCGTGGCGCCCGCCTGGAGATCCTCGAGTCTATCTACAGTCTTCCAAGCGAGCCTGCCGTCTTCGCCCTGCTCAAGACCGATGTAGCCATCCATCTCTTCCGCCGTCACGTCCACATCGACCAGGAACGGCTGAGCGGCGCCGAGAGCGCCTTGATGCTCACCATCCTCAAGGCCGGCCTGGCGCAGACCCGTGGCCTGCTTCCCTCCCACCAAGCTTGGTGGAATCTTCTCTTCACCCCGTTCCAGGCGCTCATGGTGCTTCTGGCCATAGACTCGACCGAAAGCCTCGAGCTTCTCTCCGAAACCATGTCTCTTCTCGACGCCGTCTCTCATGCGTTCCCCTGCTTTCTCGCCGGGGAAGTCCTGCAGACCGCGCAGACGCTCGCGAAGGGACTCGAGAAACGGAAGAAGAAACAGGCAAAACTGCTCAGCACTGCCTCCAACTGGACCTTCTCCTCTCCTCCTCCTCCTTCTTCTTCCTCCGCTCAGAACCACCAGGCGACTGACCCAGATCTACCTGATGGTAGCACCCCGGCCTCGGTCCATCCAGGGCACGCCGAGGCGTTATTAGATAGCTGGTTTGGCGGAGGGGTCGACTGGATGGACCTTTGGAACTCGACAGATCCAGTTTTGGACTTGAATTTTCCCTAGCAGTATTCGATTGATGCGGTTTATTTATACGCGTATGAGACCATATTGACCTAATACCACCTTTCAATACTTATTTAGTCAATTCACTACATCGTAGACTGATAGCTCTAATAATTATCATCACTTGTCTATCAGAAAAATATAGAAATCTTCTTCAACTGGGATCCATCGACTCGCTGACGTAATGCGGAGTGATCTGTCAAGATCAAGACACGCGATACTCCGCAAAACAACCTCGACAGCTTCAACTCCCTCCCCCACCACCCATGTCTTCTGGAAGGCCCTTCCGCCTCGCCATATCATAACGGCTGAGTCGAGTCTGTGCTCATCTGTCACCATGAGATTAGCGGCGTACGCGGGGGTACGTAAACGCTGGAAGAGCCGTTGATCCCCTCCGACCTGACGAGCAACTGACTGACGGTAATAGGCTTCTGCGGCCCTGGCGACGGGCGTCGTCTTGAAGGCGATGCATCAGCGGTCGAATTTCTACTCGGCGTGTGTCTATCTCTCGCAGAGTAGCGCCAATCTTATGGTAGTTCCTTAGTTCCTTCTTCACTATTGATTGAACGCTTTTTGGAATGCTTTTGGAAAGCTTGCTGACCGACTAGATTCTGACGAACCTCTGCCTCCTCATCACCGGATACGTCCTTTTCTGGCTACAGCGGCTGCTGTACGGCCCCCTGCGACCGATCGAGACCGAACAGCTGTACGAACGGGCGTGGTTTGCAGTCACGGAGACATGTCTCGCCATGACCATCTTCCGCGGCTCGCTGGGCGCCTGGTTCCTCGTCATGTTCGTCTCGCTGCTGGTTGGGAAGGTGTGGAGCTGGATCGGCGAAGGACGCGTCGAATTTCTCGAGCAGCAGCCGCCGGCGAACCCGCGGTTGTTCCATACCCGGCTGGCCATCTCGCTCGCCCTCACCGTCTGCTTCCATTCCTACATGCTCGAGTACTGCATCAAGACCGTGCTCGAGCAGGCCCGCCCGGATATGATGGTCATGTTCGGCTTCGAGTTTGCCGTCTTGACTATTCTCTCTTCCTCCACTACTGCCCGCTACGCCATCGCCCTCGTCGAGATCCTGATCACCCGCAAGCAGATCCGGGCCAAGCTCCAGGAGCGCCGCGCCGAGATCCGCGCCGCCCGTGACGAGATCATCAGGGAGCATGCCCGCGCCGGCGCCACCGGGTTTCCCTCCAACCTGCCGGATGAAAACGATGTCGACGAGCTCGAGCTGGATGTCCCCGGCTGGGAGGACAAGGGCCGCTGGGTCTTCTATCTCGACCTGCTGACCGACTTCCTCAAGCTGGTCGTCTATCTCTCCTTCTTTGTGATTTTGTTTACCTTCTACGGCCTGCCAATCCACATCCTGCGCGACGTCGTCGTGACCATCCGCTCCTTCGGCCGCCGCATCATGGATTTCTTCCGCTACCGCAACGCCACCCGCGACATGAACCAACGCTACCCGGACGCCACCTCTGAGGAAGTCTCCAGGGAGGACGTCTGCATCATCTGTCGCGAGGAGATGACTCCTTGGAACCAGCCGGCCGCCAACGCCAATGCTAACAATGCCGCCCCCCGCAACCGACTCCCAGAACGACGGCGACCCAAGAAGTTACCGTGCGGCCACATCCTGCACTTTGCCTGCCTCCGGAGCTGGCTTGAGAGGCAGCAGAACTGCCCGACCTGCCGAAGACCTGTTCTTGGGCCTGCGGCTGCCCGTGGCCACCCGGGCAATGCTGTCGGCGGCGGCGGCGACGGGCAAGCGAACGCCGGCGTGGGCGCCCAGCAGAACATCCCTGGCCAGAACGGCGGGGCACCGGACGGTTTGGCGAGAGCTCGGATCTACCAGTTTGGTCCATTCCGCCTCGGCTTCGGTGCCGGTCGGGGAGACCTGCTCCAGAACCTCCAGCGACAGATCCACCAGGGCAATGTTCCGGTGCAGGCAGGCGCCGGCAACAACAATATTAATAACGTCAACATGAACGACCCCGATGTACAGCAGCTTGGGTTTGGACTTGGGTTTGGACGAGCCCAGCCGACGCCCACCGTGCCTTCCGGGCCCAACCAGCTGGCCGGTGTTCAGATGCAGCTCCAGCAGATCGAACTGCAGCTCCTCCAGGAGATCAACAACCTGCGCGTCACGGCAGAGCAGCTCCACGTCGTGCGCCTGCTCCAGGCGGAACTCCAACGGCTGCGCGGTCTGCAGGCCGATTCCTCTGGTGTGCCCGCCACTGGGTTCCATAATATCACCTCATCATCAGCATCATCAGCATCTCCCTTGCCCTCATCATTTACAACGACAACAGCAACAACAACTTCGTCGTCGGCCCGTCGCCAGTTCTTTTCGGATCCGAACGTGCCGGCGCTTCGTACGGGAGACGAGCGACTCCCCGAGGGGCTCAATCTGCCGCCAGGGTGGACGCTGGTTCCCTTGCGCCACCTGCCTTCGAGACCAGCAGGGACAGGGACTACTCCGGGTTTATTCGGTGCTACACCTACAGAGACAACTACTCAGCAGACAGAGGCAGAGACTCCGACGGAGCCAGACAACCTTGGACAACCTGATGATCACGAACAGCCAGAGCAAGAAGATGCAAACCAAGTCACCCCCGAGCACGCATACGAAGCCCGCTCAAACTCGCCCTCCCAGGAATGGACGGACGTCACCCCCGATTCATCCGAACAGACACCCGACCGGTCTGCAGAAAGCACCCCCAGCGACGGGTCAAAGGGGAAGAGCCGAGTCCCGACGGTGGAGGAAGCAGAAGAGGAGCCTTGACTTGAAGCCTTGAGTTTTTTTTTTTTTTTTTTTTTT